GACAGAAAGGGTTCTTTAATGTTGATAAATGGTACAAGCCACAAAGAAGACATAAGCACCATGATGTTTTTTATGCTGACCAAGATAACTGTGAAATATGTAAAACCAGGACTATAACAGATACAGACAGAAAATGACAGGAACTCAACAACAGTGGGAGCTTCCCTGGTAACTCAGTTGGTATAGAATCTGCCTGCAATGCAAGAGACCCCTGTTCTGGGTTGGGAAGACCTGCTTGAGAAGGGATAGGCTATCCACTCCAGTATTCTTGGGCTTCCCTTGTGGCTCAGCTGGTAAAGAATCATCCTGCAATGCAGGAGACCTGGGTTTGATCCCTGGGTTGGGAAGATCCCCTGGAGAAGGGAAAGGCTGCCGACCTCAGTATTCTGGCCTGGAGAATTTCATGGACTGTATAGTCCAAGGGGTCACAAAGAGTCGGACACGACTGAGCGACTTTCACTTTCACTTTCAACAATAGTGGGAGAGTGGAGATACCACCCTCAGTCTTTGACAGATTAAGTAGGCAAAGAATGAGTTAGGGTAGAGAGAAGCTGAATAATGTATTTCATGTGTCTGATTTAATAGATATGTGTCAATTTTATACTCTGTGAGAAGAAAATAATACCTTTTCTTAAAGAGTTCATGAAACATTCACAAAAATTGATCAAATATTGGCCCAGAAAGGAAACCTAAGTCAAGTCTCCAAGGCAAAAATTGTACAGGCTCTATTCTCTGACCGCAATACAATAAAACAGAAAATTAATGGCAAAAGTTCAAACTGACAAACCCAAACACTTTGAAATTTAACAACTCTGCTACAGAAATCTTGGGTCAGAGAGAAAAATCAAAGCTATAATTACAGATCATTTAGGGCTTAACAGCAATAAGAACATTGCATATCAGCACGCATGGGATTGTGCCAGAGACAAATTCAGAGCTGGAGACCCGATATTGTTGACAGAAAAGAGTAAAAATAAACAGACGAAAGATTCAAGCTCCAAAATTAGAAAAGAATAACGAACCAAAGCAAAGAAAATTAGGAGGCAGGAATGAACAGATCCAAAAGCATAAAATAAGGATATGAAGGGATAAAAAGCTCTGATACAGAGGTAGTTATTTGAAAAAGAAGAATGATGGGAATAAATTGATGATCCGAAAAATATTAAGACAGGATGTTAAGGCTGAGAAGAGAAATATAGTTTCCTGTATAGAGGTCTTTTGAGGGTAAGTTACACTTTTAAGCTAATAAAGTTTCGAATGTTCAATGGATTTATAAAAAATGGAAATTACAAACTGAAATTAGAATTAGAAAATGTGAATGAATCAATATGTAAGGAAAATGTTGCCAAGTCTGAGAGGCAGAATACATAAGGACGTGGGCTCTAGTGCCAGCCTGCCTGGACTTGAATCCCAGCTTCACCTGTTGGGCAAGTTATTCAACCTCTACAAACCTCAGTTTCCTTAACACTAAATCGATGATGATAACAACATCTATCTCTCAAAGTTGTTGTTGTGCAGTCAGTAAAATAACAAGCCAATTCCCTACCACTGTGCAAATCAGACTCCCCAAAAGATAGCAGGCATTTTTCTTATTGCACTCTTTCAAACTTTCAAAGAACACATCTTTCATATGCTCTATTAATAGTTCCAAGGCATACAGAAAGATGAACAAGTGCACTTGATTTTACAGAATCATTATCTTGATACAAAAAGCCCTGCCATGTTCACACAAAAGTGCAAATTTTCTTTATGAATACATAGGAATTAAATAAGATATATATAAATGGGATCCAATGTCGTAATGAAAGAATGAGACACAAAAATGAAATAATGTATTTCCTAGGAATAGACGAATAGTTCAATAAGAAGCAATCTATTAACCCACATCACAAGGCAATTGGCAGTGTGTTGACCAAGAAATGCTGTTTTTAATTATTTGCCTAAAGAAGTAAGTCATGGACAAAGAGTTGTGTTCAAGATTGTTTGGTGTAAATTTATTGAACTTTAAATAACCTAAATACACATTAATAGGGGAATGTTTATATATATATATATATGTATATAAACATTATGTTTAAGTCATATGTAGAAATATACTATAGGTTATTCTATAGAAAAGGCTATTGTGAAACCATATAAAATATTTCAAAGACTATTTGAAAACATGAAAATATATTCAAAATATGTTGTCCATTAAGTATAAAAGAAACTGATTAAAAATAGAAAATGCTTACTTACATATGTAGAAACTACATATATTTAACTTTGTGTACATATATGTACATATACATGTATGCATGAACATTTATGTTGTTTCTTTTGTTGCTGTAAAAATGCTACAGGGAATAATAATCTTATGCATTTGTTATCTAATAAAACTGTAATGATCAAATCACCATATTTTTCTCTATTTTAAGCACCATAATCTGATTCTCACTTGTGCAAATGAAAAATGCAAATTGCTATTCATTGCAATTTAAGTTTGCGTGCATATATGTGTGTATGTAAACATACACATAGTAATTTATCAGGGGAGGGAAACAAAAGAAAAGATAACAAAATATCATAATGGGTATTTTACGATGGTTTAATTTTCTACCTCTATAAATGTTTTTGCTTAATTTCAGTATGTGAAAAAAATCAAGTGTTAGCAAAGTATCTGAAGTGAGATTCAAACAAAAGGAAAAGCCCTGCACTTGTAAACAAACTATCTAAACTCAAGACATTTATCCTGTTTATAAACTCATGTGTTAAAAAAAAAAAAGATAACTACTTCAAATAAGATGTTTAGGGTTTTTTTACAGTGTCTGGAAATCAGCAAGTCAATAATATATCAATATTGATATATTGCAATGAAAACCATTGCAAAAATTAGCTTTTAAAGGTATGTGAAAGTGTTTAGCACAGAGCCTGGGGCATAACTGGGTACCAGGAATTATTAAATGAACCTGAATCATCTCCCTTTCCTAGAAACACCTAGATTCTGAAATAGAAGATTAGAAGTGCTTTTCTCTGGGACTTCCCTGGTGATTCAGAGGTTAGGACGCCATGCTTCCAATGCAGGGGTGCAGGTTCAATCCCCAGTCAGGGAACTAAGATCCCACAGCTGTTCAGTGAGGCCAAAACTTTTTTTTTTAAAGTAAGAAAAAAAGAAGTATTTCTCTCTGCCACTCTCCACCATTTAATCTGAGTTCTCTCATTACTTGCAACTGCTTTATTTGATGCTGCCATATCGTTTAAAAACAAAGACATAAATGACAATAACAAAAAACAGTGAAGCTGGTTTTCTCCTTGCCTCCAGAGGACAAGGAGAACAAACTACCCTTTATCTCTCTTCCTGGATTCTCTCTTCTTGCTTAAAATCCAGATCCAGGGTAGGATTGGTTCAGTGTCTGTTAAATACTTTTTCCTTGGAAATAACTTAATATTCTGCTTTGAGAAGGTATAGAGTCTTCATGTGAAAAATGGTGGCTTCCTGCCCAAAACTATACTCCACTGGATAGAGTCCTTAAAGACTTTGCTCTGAACCAAAGGAATGATATAAATAATTCCATTGGTATGGGAAATTTTGTCTGGTGGTAGTACATAGGAATATTTCTTGGAAATAGCTAGAGACTAGAACTAAGGGAAATCTGGAAAAAAGCTATACTGTAGGTCTGGATTTAGGAGGTTGCCATATAAGGAGAATTTGGGCATTCACTGGATGGATATGGAAGATGAAGGGAGGGAAATCGTGAATGAAAACTCAAGTTTTGCTTTCCAAGCCCATGGAACATTAGTACCATGGACAGGGCTTGAGCATCAGAGAATAAAATGATGAGCTCACTTTAGGACGCAATGGTTTGGGTTAAGAGCAGGAATTTCATGGTGACAGACATAAGCAGCTTAAAATCTAACCCCACAGACCAGAGAGATCTCAGGTCAGAGGTGCAGACTTGAAACCTCTCAATTTGGGTAAGAAGATAGACCCCAAGTCTTCGTGAAGACACCCGAGCCTCATGACATACTAGCATTTAGAGAATTAAAGAGAAAAGGGGATCCAGTGAAAGAGCTTAAGGATGAGTAGCAAGAGGGTATAATGCCAAAGATAGGAAAGACGATTTTATCCAGGAAATGGAAGCAAATCTAGACCTAAGAGGAAGGCAGGGCTGTGACCCATGATTTGGATAAACTAAAGCTAAGACCTCACGCCTCCTCCTTCCTTTGCTTTGGTTGAAATAAGATGCACATGCCAACAAAAAGCAAACATACAATGTTGAACTGGAGCAATAATACAATATTGAACTGTGCTTTGGTGGTAAGCCAAATCTTCATTCCATTTTAGAAGCCTTGAACTCCTGACTTTAGCAACTATGACTCTATTCATTGTGTGGCTTGTTCAATCAATGTGAACTTTTGCATTAATTAAAACCAATGCTTTTGAAACAGCGAGCTGTGTCACTTATAGGAAGGACAGAGACCAGGATCCAGAACTCTGGATCCCAGGCAGTAGGTGGTTCATGTCAGCTTACTACCTCTCAGGACACACCCAGATACTTGTGTATAAAGACCCAGGACAAATCAAAGCTCTATAAGATGCAAGCATCTTGCATTAGGGCATCCCTTTCCTGGCTAACCATGCCTGAACACCCTCCTCCCCCTCAAAAGATCTTCCTCCGCTCAGTTCTCTATCTCATGTATGTATATTTGCCAGATGTCCCCTAGTCTCCATTCTTCTCCTCCTCCACCCCAACAAAGCTTCTGATGTTGGTCAGCCAGATCCACAGGTGTAGGTGGGTCGCCATGGTGACAGAGGAAGCCCTAATGCAGAAAAAGAGAAACAGAAGCATCAGAGGAAGGGCCCTGCCTTGTTTCTAGGGTATGCAAAGGCCTGGGCTTCTTGGAAGTGCTTCCTTTGACTCAGAGAAGCACAGCAGAGGTCAACAGAGGTGCTGCTGTGTTGAAGAGACTACGGAATTCCTGAACTCTTCTTTAAAAAAATTTTTTTCTGTGATTTTCAGGTGATCATCAGTATAACCATCCGATTTTAAGCAGCGCTACCCAGACCCCTACACATGGTGAGAGATGACTGAGAGTGTTCTGTATTCCATCCTCATCCCAAGTGGTTCCATCCTAGCTACTGATGCCGACTACGGCATCAAGCATGGTCACTGGCTCACTGAAGCTAAGGCGGCGTAAGGAGCCGGTACCTGCCCTCCCCTAGGGCCACGATGACTCACTCTCACTTTTAGATCATTGCCCCCCCAGTGTCTGTCTCTGATATCAAAGTGATCTTCTGCCATGAAAGGGGAAGACAGAGCCCCTTTCTTAACCCATTTCACTTACAATCTTGATCACTTCTTGCAGCCATAAATTCCATGTGTCCACAGCAAGGAGTGATCACTCTTGTTTGCCCAGGGCTACTTGTGCCATATTAGGAATGACATGAGATGTGGAAAACTCTACAGATCCTCCCCCAAACTAATTAAGATTGGATAAAACTCAAAACCAAACTGGATGACTTGAGCTTTAGCTCTCAACAGAGGAAGAACCTGAAAGCTGCAGAGCACGAGTGTTTCAGTAAAGTGCCAAAGAGTTACAAAACCATGTTTCCCTCTTACGTGTTAACATCCTCCCATCACATCACAACTTATCATTTGGAACTGCAGTGAAAAACTATTTTTGGGACATGCTCAAAACTTGATAGAACACAAGACAGCCATGTAAATCATGAGTTATCAGTCATTCTCCTGTCTTTGGTGTTAAATAATGAAAACATCATTAAATTGTAGCGAGAGAGAAACTCAAAACAAAGATAAATTCTGCAGCTCACCTGGCAGAGAGATCTACACCTCTCGTGTCAGACTATGCTCTGTTTCTGCACTAGAATTTGGAGGAAAGAAGTGAACTATCTTGAGGTGCCCCTCCAGTGCTAGGCTCCTAATGAAAATATGGGGTGAAAGCAACAGTTTAATAAGGTGTTTCAAGTTGCAGGGTCTAGGAAAAAGTAGAACTGGGGGAAATCAGACTGATCAGCTAAAAGAAGCTGGTACCACCAGTGATGTTGACAGTAGGAATAGGGAGAAGGGTTCAGATAAGAAATATTTGGGAGAAAGAATTGGGAAGTCTCAGTTACTAACTGAATATGACTGAAAAGAGTCAATTATGAGTGAAATGGAGAGTCATGATCAGTTAGAAGAATGAAAGGTCTCATGAAAGCAATCTAAGAAATCAGGACAGCAGCCAGTGTTGCTGCTGGGATGGAGCTGCTGTTGGTGAGTCTGGATCTGGACATCGAGAGCTGGATATGACTACAGGATCTGCAAGGAAAATCATTCAATAAGGCAGTTAGAAATATAGACATGATGTCTGGAGGGAGATAACAGCCGAAGATGTAAGTTGTGCTTTGGAAGCAGCAACAGAAGTCTTGGGAGTAGGGGCAATCTGTGCAAGAAGGCTGAAAGAGAAAAGCAGAAGGCAGGAGCAGAAAGCCTGGGGGACGCCCGTGGTGATGAAGCAGCAGCAGGAAGAGGATCCAGAAAAGGCAAGCGAGGATGTCTGCTTGCTCAGTATCATTCTGAAAGACTAACTCTGAGTTGATATTCCCCAGAAGAAGCCGACACAAGCACAGCCTCCTGAATACAAATGGAGGAACCACTCTTTCTTTCTTTTTTTTTTTTTTGCCTTTATTTAATTTACTTTTGCCTTTTCATACTGTTCATGGGGTTCTGAAGGACAGAGTGACTGCTGAAGTGGTTTGCCATTCCCTTCTCCAGTGAACCACAGTTTGTCAGTCAGAACTCTCCACCATAACCCATCTGTCCTGAGTGGCCCTGCATGGCAGGGCTCATGGTTTTATTGAGTTACTCAAAGCTGTGATCCATGTGAAATTTTATGTATTTATTTATTTATTGCTTTTTAACTGGAGGATAATCTATATAGTGTTGTGTTGGTTTCTGCCATACAACAATGAGAATCAGACATAGTTTTATATATATACATATATTTATGCCTTAATTATATATATCTCCCTCTTGATACTAACACATCTATATGGAATATAGAAAAACAGTATTGATGAACCTATTTTCAGGGAAGGAATGGAGATGCAGATGTAGAGAATGGACTTAAGGAGGAAACTTTCTTTCCTCTTCCTCTTCTGCCTTCTTTTGCCACCTGATGCGAGAAGATTGAGGATAGAAGAGACCCAGTACCTGCACTTAAACAGCTCACAGCTCAGTGGAAGCAGGGTTTTCTCTTCATTCCTTCCTTGGATGTTTCACTTTTCCCAGGAGCTGGCAGAGTGACTCTCAAGAGAGGAGGCGGCCTGTGTCTACTTGATTAGCCAACGGGCATTAACTGAATTCTTATTTTGGGCCAAGCGCTGTGAAGGCATCAGAAAAACTGGAAAGCAGAACTTCTGCTGTCAAGGAGATGGCAATCTTTGGAGATAAACAAGACCAACTAGAGTCAGATGATGAGAGACCACATAGACACTAAACTGGGTGGTACTGACCAGAAGAGCAAGAGGGGCTTGAAGACCAGATACTACTCTGGGCTGAAAAGATGTCATATTGTCACAGCAAAGAGTCTTAAGGGAGGGGGGAATTTGGACAGAGGGAGAGTAAGGAAATGACTGCGAGAGGAGAAACGGCATGAGCAACGGGGCAGAGGCAATCAATCATGGTGGAGGCAGAAAGCAAGGAAGGGTTGGCCTTGGCTCCGTGGTAGGTTTGGAGAACAGTGAGGGGTAAGAGTATCTAGAAACGTTGCATTTGGACGTGGGTGAGCTGCGTGATGTCCTTGGTAGAAGAAAGATGCCCACAGCAGAGGAAATTCATTCTTCTCGAGCATGGCCCCAAGTGAAGACACAAGAGCTACGGGGCTGGTAGCTCCTGCCGAGCAGTGCTCCTGGCTCCCTACCCACTCCACTCCCTGGCACCAGCCCCATCCATGCTAGGGAGGCTCTTTCTGTACAGCATGTTCTGATCGCCCAGGGATGTAGAGCATCCCCCCCCACCCCCTCACATATGTACCGAGCTGGCGTGAATACCTAATCATTGGCTGGGCTTCCCTGGCTCCATCCCCAGAGTTAAGGGTACCATGAGGGCAGGAAAGGACAGAGAAGCCAAGAGTTCCCTGTATTGAGATTGTCCTTGAACAAAGCCTAGAAGAGCTTCTCTTTGTCTCAAGGTTCATAGCATCCCCTTTGCTGGGGATGGGGAACCACAGTACACGGATACACTTGTCCAAAGTTAGAACCTGCCCCTACTTGGGAGTCCCAAACCAGGAGGGATGATTCGAGAGCCACCCAGCTGCCTCATTTCTGGGAATGGTTTCTCCAGCAATCCCTGTTGACTTCTTGCTGTACATCAAGTCATCCAAGCATCAAGGCATGCTTGTCTTCCTGCCCGGGCTCTCCATTCCTTTTTGTCCCCCATCTTCATGGCTACTCATCACCTATACCTGCATCTCCTCTCCCCCATCTGCTGACTCTTATATTATTCCTAATCTGGCCCCCAGAACCCAGACCAGCTCATTCACCTCATTAGTCATTCATCTCACTTCTCTTTGGTCTTTTTACCCATGTCTTCCCCTCCTTCTTTTTCTCCAGGTCTGGCACTGAACAATCTCCCTTCTCTCTCTTAGACTTTGGAATCTCAAGGTTCTGTCTCAGGGATGGAGGGAGAAAAACAGAATGACGCGCTAGACATTTTGCCTATATTCTTTCCTCCAGCAGTTGAGAGATGGCTAAGGGGGATTCAGAGGAAGGAACTGGAATAAGAGGAAATAGCTTTGCAGCTCACAGTGCCTTGTCAGGAGCAGGGCTTGGAGGAGCCAAAGGTGGAAGGGGCAGTGTGAGAGGTAAAATGACCCATGGACAGCGTGGGTTGGAGTCTCAGTGGAGTTAGGTCCTGGACCCAGTCCTAGGGTCCAGGACGCAGATGAGATCAGTCATTCTACCTCCTTCTCCTTCAAACTTAGATTTTTCTGAGCCTGAGAACTAGTTTGCCTAATACTATTCACATCAAAATGAATTATTTTATGACCCACCTCCTCAGCTCCACTGGGCTTCCATTTTCATCTGACAGCCCCGTGATGTACTGGGAGAAAGAGTCTGCCATTCAAGGAAGGGTAACCTGTCATTATGCCAGTGCAGCCAAAAGCTCCTGCCCCCACTGGCTTGCTGGCAACTGGAGCTGAGCAGAGGGAAATCAAGTCACTAGCATCACCTGTGTCCTAGCACGGGGTCCCCGGAAGGAAGGATGGGGTCAAGAGTTGGAACCTGGACACATTCCTCCTGCCTTCCCCTGCAAAACTTTGTCCCCACTAACACCATGACCCCTCCCTTCTTTTGCAGAGAAGCCTCGGATGAACAACATCCTGACATCGGCCACCGAGCCCTATGACCTCTCCTTCTCACGCTCCTTCCAGAACCTGGCCCACCTGCCCCCATCCTACGAGTCTGCAGTGAAGACCCACCCCAGCAAGTACTCATCCCTGAAGAGGCTAAGTAAGTGGGATATTTTCCCAGGGCTGGGGGCTGCTTCCAAGGCTTCCATGACATCTTCTGGTGTCTCACTCTCTTGCCCCACACCTGAGGGCATGGGGTGGGGTCCCAAGAACAAAGAGAATGTGGAAGAAGAGAACAGACAAGCCCCTCATTTTTGTTCTTTAGAGCATGAGTCCATCTTCTCCCTCGGTAGAGTGGAGGCCAAAGGATCCTCAGACCCACATTCCCATGGGAGGCAGTGGTTCAACTTATGCACCACATTAACTGCAAGAGAAAGCCTTCCCCCAGCCTCGCCCCACACCTACCTTCTTCAAACCCTGGGCCTCCCTTGCTCTCTGTCTTGGAATAAAAGTGATCAATGCCAGAGCTTTCTTTGAGGCTCTTCCCAGAGACCTGGGCTTATGGAAGGGCCTATAAACCAGCTCTCTCCCTAACTCCATCAGCGATGTCTTGGGAACCTGAGACCCCTCACTCCGTGCACACATCCCATTTCATGAGTTGAGTCCAGGTCATCCCATGATCCCAGCTCGCCATTTGAGTCTGGGGAGGTTCTTGAGACTGACATGTTTCAGACGTTACAATATCAAGAAGGTATATGGTAGGAGGAGTCTTCTCTTCTAGCTTTCCAACCCATGGACCTTTTGCCTCCACTCTCCAATGAGTCTGTTTTGATGACCATCCAGCTACAGGGCTGAGCATGCACTTGAAGTTACAGAGTGACCTACTATGATAGCAGTTCAGCTCAGGAGACAACATTGGCCACCTCCAAAGTGGCACAGTGAGTTTCTATGGTTAAATGTGGGGAATCCCACATTCTGCAGAGACATGGAAGGCTGTCTGTAGGAAGCCTCATTCCTCAACTGTGGGGTAAAGCAGGTTTGTCCTGGGTGAGTTCATGGGTCAGCATGGGATGGAGGGAAAGGCAGAGCATCTGAATGAGGTGCACATATGCGGTTGCCCTGGCCTGCTTGTGCTGCGGGCACAGGCGAAGCGTGTGTAGACTTGATCCTATGCCATGTGTTGGCTTCCTAGGCATAGGCTGTTACTCCAGAGAAGGTGTTAGTATGTTCCTAAGTAACCAGGAAGCATTTTCACAAGTGCCTCCTGGATGGAGCATCCTGGAAGCATTCTAGCAGGAGGCTGGTTTTCAGCCCTGTTTCCTTGGACATAGGTTCTGAACCTCATCAGAAAGATGCCAGCTGATACCTGGGAATTTCAGCAAGATCCTGGGAGCTATTCTGTTTCGGGACCATGGTGGGGCAGAAGCAGTCCTGGAGCAGGAGTTCAGGGTCATGGGCTTGCCATGGAGTTGGCCCTGAACTCCACGGGGACCTTGAGGGAGTCTCTTAACCCCAGAGTGGGTCCAAGAACTAGGGGCATCAGCATCGCCTAGGAGCTTGTTGGAGAAGTAGGCTGACTTGCAGACCCACCCCGGAGCCAGGTCTGAATCAGACTCTGCGTTTAACAAGACCCCGGAGGGCTCCCCTGGTGGCTCCATCAGTAAAGAATCTGCCTGCAATGCAGGAGCCCTGGCTCGATCCTTGGGTCGGGAAGAGCTCCTGGAGAAGGAGATGGCAACCCACTCCAGTATTCTTGCCTGGAGAATCCCATGAACAGAGGGGCCTGGTGGGCTACAGTTCATAGGACTGCAAAAGCTGGACACTGAGCGACTCAACGAAGCCAGCCCGAGGACTGACTTGCAGGCGCAGTGGAGCAGCGCAGCGTCGACCCCTCTGGGCTGCATCAGTCCAGTGCGGTCCTGGCTGCAGCATTGCGGTGTCCCCCCCCCCCCGCCCCCCACCCCGCTCACTCCTCTCCCTCTTGCTCTCACCCTGTCTCTCCCCTGCAGCCGACAAGGAGGCTGACGAGTACTACATGAGGCGGCGGCACCTGCCTGACCTGGCCGCCCGCGGCACCCTCCCCCTCAACGTCATCCAGATGTCCCAACAGAAGCCGCTGCCTCGCGAGCGACCCCGCCGGCCCCTCCGGGCCATGTCGCAGGACCGGGTCCTTTCCCTGGAGCGAGGCCTGCCGGACGACTTCGGTCTGCCCTACGACCGCCTCCTCTCGGACGAGCAGCTGCTCTCCACCGAGCGCCTGCACTCCCAGGACCCGCTGCTGTCCCCGGAGCGGACGGCCTTCCCCGAGCAGTCCCTGGCGCGGGCCATCTCGCACACGGATGTCTTCGTGTCCACGCCCGTGCTGGACCGCTACCGCATGACCAAGATGCACTCGCATCCCAGTGCCTCGGATAACTCGTACGCCACCCTGGGCCAGAGCCGCACGGCGGCCAAGCGCCAGGCCTTCGCCTCGCGCAGACACAACACCGTGGAGCAGCTGCACTATATCCCAGGCCACCACACCTGCTACACCGCCAGCAAGACAGAAGTGACCGTGTGAGCGGCGGCGGCGGCCCGGAGTCGGCCTGGGCCTGGGCCGCCGCTTTCGGGCCTGGACGGGGCCCCTCCCCTCGTCCTCTCTTGCTGGGGCCGGGGGTGGGCCGCCTCTCCCAGAAAGCCATACTCCTGGGACTCGGCCGTTGGCCGGGCACAGCACGCGCGCAGACCTGGGATCTAGAGCGGTCACCCCCACTGTTCCAGAAGAATCGGAGAGGAGGGAGGAAAGGGGCGAGGCCCCGGTCTCCCTCCCCTCCCCCACTGTCACCACGTCCCTTTCAGTCCCACGCCCCCCTCCCCCTCCTGGGGGGGCTCAGCTGCAGGTCCATCCGCCGAGAGACCCTGGCCCGACCCTGGCCGGAAGCTGCCCGCCCGGATTTGACTTGGCCGATGGGCTGACGGAATAGGCTCCACGGTCTCTTTCATTCACCTAAAACCGCATCACAGAAATCTTCTTAGTGCCTAAAAACTGCCTGCTCGCTCTCTCAGAGCCGGGGAGCTGCTGTGTCCATAAGCACAATAATGATTCTCTTCTGCCCGCTGGAACTCTCTGGTCCCCAAAGGGCGGCCCTTCTCTCCGCTGACTCCCCGGGGCCCCGCCCTGGCCCTCTGCCCCTCCCCCAAGCCCCAGGACCTGGAGGGGGTTCCCTTCCTTCAGCGGCCGCCCCAAGGTTGGGAGCCCCGCCCCTTTCCGGCTGGCTGCCGCGCCCCCAAGACCCCGCCCCGCCCCCAAGGCCCTGCCCCGCCCCCAGCCCTAGATTCCATCCCTGGGTTCCCTGGGGCTTCCCTCTGGTCATTCTAGAACAGAGTAGGGATGGGGTGCAGGGGCTTTTGGGGTGGCCCTTCCCAGCAACCCGATGATCTCCACACTTCCTCCAGGCCTCCGGGTCTGTCTGAACCGTGACCTGCCACTCTGGCCTGCCTTCCCCTCCCAGGCTCTTCTCCCAAGAGGCTCTGCCCCCTGGCCAGAGAGCAGCTGTGGGGAGGCCACTGTGACACCTTGGGCCTCGAAGGCTGGCCATTCCTCCTGCCCAGGGCTCCCGCCACACGCACCAGGCGGGACAGAGGCGCTGGCTGCTGGGTGGACGGCCCAGACCCACGCAAAGGAGGACCCCAGGCGGTTGTTCTACACCTCGACCTCTCCACTCCCCGCATCACTGACGCCCCACCCCCCGACCCCCGACCCCTGACCCCTGTGCTTGGCCCCGTCTCTGTTTAGAGCCTGCTCTCTGCCAGTTTCCCCTCCTGCGCCACCCCGTCCCCCTCGCCCCACACCTCCCACCTTCCTGCAGCTTCAGGACTCTCTCCTGGCTGCGGCTTCTTTCTCCTGTGTCTCCTTTGGATCTACCGCACAGAGACCAATTAGCAGATGCAAATAATGGTACTCCGGGCTATTGGTCTGGGGGCTAACTGGGTACCTCCACAGTGCTCCCCTGCAGGGGGCATCGGGCCTCCGGCAGATCCAGGCCCTCAGCTCTATTGGTGGGGGTGGGGGGCGGAGTGGGGGAGAGAAGGCTCCATTCTCTAGGCCAGGATACCTCCCTGGGCTGGAGCTGGGGGAACTGGCTTCAGACTATTGGGCAAAAGTATGATACTACAAATGTGACAGCCACCACAGTCAGACTCCAAAAGCAATGACTTTAAACTGGCTTTTAGATTCCCCAGTTCCACATACAACATGTATGACCCTTTAAAAAGCAGGGGTGGGGCAGGGAGAACGCCTCAGGGTCAGCCCTGGGAATTTTTAATCTAATCCACAGAGAAATCAATTGACTGATTCCTCCTACTTTTTCAAGAATTCCAAAGCTCTTGTCCTCCCCTCCCTACCACAGTGCTCACCATCACAAGAATCACGAGGGGGACTGAGGCTGGGGGTGATGGACACAGCACCAAGGTCCCCAGGGGGGTGGTGTCACTGGGGCTGTGAGGCTGTGAGGTCAGGGATAACTCTCGGCTTCCCTTCTTGACAAACACATAAACTGTCTCAAGGGCTGGTCCCTAAGGGTTTATGAGAGTTTACTTCAGAAGATGAAGCTAAGAGGGCTGGGCTGGAAGGAATCAGCTACTCCTGGAAAGGAACATGTGTCTGTCACAGCCATCTGCATCTGCCCACTGCCCTCTAATCCAGTCCTTGGCCACTCCCCTTGAAGGATGGTGCAGAGCAGGGGAAAGGACGTGGGTGGATGTGAATCTATACAAACATAGACCTGAACCAGAAACCGGTTCTCATTCATATCTGCAGCATCCTCTCTGCACCAAGTTCTCCAGCCCTCGGGGCGATGATGCTTCTCCCCAGCCCTGTGTGTCTGTCTGGGGTCTGTTTGGTAGTTTGATTCTGAACCATTTCTCATCCCAGCATTCCTGCTGCCCAGTTTAAAACCTCTGGTTGTTGGTTGGATCAAAAAATTTCTATCTGACCCTTTACTTCTTTGAAATGATTCTTCTGCTTCACCCTTGAGTCTGGAAGGAGGGAGGGAATGAAGGAAGAAAATAAGAGAAAGAAGTCTACAGACGAGCTCCAATTCAGTCCCCTCATTTCAGGATCCATACAATGATGTCTTAACTGGGACACAGCAATATCGTGTGTATCAGTCGTGCCATCCATATTTGTAGGATGAGCAAAGCTGCGTTACTGGACAAGTTCTTTTAGCAGAGAGGAGAGGGTTCTGGAGCTGGAACCCGGGTGCCCAGACTTCAGCACAACCAGGCTGGTGGCCACTACCCCACATGGAAGGGCTGGCCCTTCCCCCACAGTGGAAGCCCTGGTCTCCCACTAAGGGTAGCCCCAAGCCCGATGTTTCCCTCTGCTTGTCTGGCTCTCTGACTCTCCATTGCTCTGCTGGGGAAACACTGGGGTCTGCATGGGTTCTCTCCTGCCCTGAAGGTTTGTGCTGGTCAGCTTGGCCTTTGATGGCAGCTGAGCTCTCACTGTCTGTCATGCCCTTCCACCTTTCCTGCCTCGCTTCCTCCAGTGAACTCCTGGCTCTGGGAGCTCATAAGTCACAAATGCTTTCCCAAGAACTCCTTTAATCCCCTAAATGGACTTTTACCCACAGGGCTCCCCAGTGTCTGGGGGTGATGGGCTTGCTTTCTAAAAAGCTCCCACCCTTCTCTTCGTTCAGATGTCTCCTCCCCTCTTTCCATTCCCGGCCTGAAACGGACCCCACTCTTCCATGCCCATTCAGCGCTTCCTCCTCTCATCTCCCTGGCCCTGGTCTTCCATTCACCTCTCTCCATCCCGATCTCTTTCCCCTGGTCCTGCTGCACTACCCCCCGGTTCTAAAATGTGGAGGTCTCAATGAAGACAGTCCCAGAGTGAGACATTCTTCAGGTCCCTGTTGGCCTCATTGGTTTATCCTTCACCTCCTGCCCCCATGAGATAATGGTGGAAGCTACTCTGTCAGAGGCATCATGGGCAAAGACTGGCTTTGGTTCCTGTAGCTGGCATGTCCCTGAAGCCCCTTCCCCAGCTTGCCGCTAGCCCAGAGGCTCCTGCTCTGGCCAAAGATTCATATCCTTGAGGGCTCTCAGCCACTGTTCCATCTCAGTTATGCCTGTCCTGCTTGTGTGTATCATAGACCTCCCTTTGTCTCAAAAAGATGAGAGAGCCTCATGACTGACTGAGCTTGGAGAAATATCCATTCCAGTAAGCCCAGTAACCCTACCACCAAACAGTCCACTTTCTTCAGAGATACACTGTCTGCCCCAGCCTCCTGGCCTCAGATCCCAGTCAGAGGCAACTGTGAACCTGAGCTTCAGGGCCTGCTGGTGATCGAGATCCTAGGAAGCACCTGTTCTATTCCCCCCACACTTTCCTCCACCCTCCTCCCCAAACCTGGGAAACTTGGCTCTGGAGTATTTTCTAGGAAGCTCGTTGTGCTTCAATGATGTATTTTTCAGGGTTCCTATGTATTTTTTTTATATATATATAAATGCAACATTTTAGTGACAGATTTGATATGAGAGCTGTGTCTTCCTGGGCTCTGTATTTGATTTCTGAAGGCAGCATACTACAGGAGGAAAAACCACGGGGCTGAGGCTCTTGGAGATTTGGCTTCCGTGTTGGCTTTGTCCCCGTCTTGCCATGTGACTGAGGACCAGCTGCGTTCTCCCTCAGCACCTCTTTTTCCCATGTATAAAGCGAGGGGCTTTGACCAGATGAGTTCTGAAGTTCTATCCCACTCGTACATGTAGGGCTCCCGTTCCCCGTTAGTACCCCCTCCTCTCAGCATCCCTCCCCTCCCAGCTGGGCCGCACACATCCCATTCCACATGCCGCACGGCGACATGGTCAGGTGCCCTGGGCAGTCTCCACACTCCTTCCCAGAGCCCGGGGTGGGCCCCGTGGGCACGGCTACCCCGGGACGCTCTCCCATCTGAAGGTGGAAGGGCCCGCCCATTCAGTGGGCTACCAAACGTGTGTCCCGGAATCCACTCCCACCCCATATAGACACACCTGTATCAGCCCGGGTATCTGAGTCACTGGGGAATTCTCAAGTGCTCATCCTGATGTGGCCCTTAGAGCTGGAGGGAGGTGGTTCTGACTTCTGAGATGGCATGGGCTAAAGGAGAGCAGTCCAGAGATTGGCCCACGATGGTACGAAGTCTGTATCTGATATCCGCTCGGTGATGCATTCCAAGCCACGGGGGAGACAGAATGCACCGCGGAGACTCTGCAGCGATGGGCGTCACGTCTCCCGCCAGAACCTGTGTCCTGAAGGCCGAGTCCGGACACGGGGCTCCGCACCACCTGGAGGAGGGGAGCTAACCCCTGGGCTGCTAAGAGGTGGGCACCCACCCCATCCTAGTACCTCTCTGGCCCCTCCTTTTGTGACACTACCATCCTCCCGGCGAAAGCTTGAGAAGAAGTGAGAATTGAGAGTACAAGTCAGTACCACCGAACCCATCTTGTAAATCGGTGAACACATCCACCGTCCATCAGTCAGAGAAAGGACATCCTGCGTTTCCTTAACACCCTCCCTCCTGGGGAGAGGAAGACCCCTGCTCCACTCTGCTGCCCACTCCTGCCCTGACCTTTGAATGCCACTCCCTGGGAGGACTCAGTCATTTGCTTCGTAGTGGCAAATATTCCTCTAGTTCTATAACTCAACTAGACATTTTGTAGTAAAGAATTCTTAAAATTCTCTAATTAAAAAAAAAAAAAGCAATTCTTACTGTAATATTTTTAGTTTGGGGACACAATTTCCTAAGGGGGGATTAATGAACATTTTTATGCATTAGCCCAATTTATGGATTCCATGTTTATTACATATGGTAGTACTGATGAAAAGTAACTTTCTATCTGTACCTTTGCCCATTTCTTCATCCTCATAAGTAAGCTTCATGATGAGCAGTGCTCCTGTAACTGCCGCTTCTGTGCAAATCTCATCGTTCTACTTACCCGTCAAAGCACATTCTATATGTACTGTAAACAGGTATCACTTTAGTAAGATTTAGTCTTAAGGATTTTTCCACTTTTGTCAGTAACAGATATTTATGGATTAAAAAAATAATAAAGCCGTTTCAACATAATCTATGTCTCTTAAAATAGCCAAATAGTTTGTTTCTTCAAACACAGAGCCAGAGGTAATTAAAAAATCACAAAAGGATGTAGATGATCATTGACGGGAGAAGAAACAAGGACTGACCAAGGGAATGAGGGAAATTTTAGGGCGATGGAAGCACTGTAAAACTTGATTATGGTGATGCTCACAACTGCATAAATGTACTAAAAGTCATCAAATTGTATAACACAATGGGTGAATTGTATGATGTGCAAATTAGACTTTAATAATGCTTTCAAAATGGTGAACAAAAGAAATGTGGGAAGGCAGGATTAGGATAAATGCCAATGGATAAGGTGCACCAACTCAAAACAGAATCAGAAGTTACAGCCTTGTATGGATGTCCCTCGTGGTCCAGTGGTTAGGACTCTGCGCTTCCACTGCAGGGGGCAAAGGTTGGATTCCTGGTTGGGGAACTAAGATCCCACAACTTTGTATCCATATTCATCTACTATAGCCTTATTATTCTTGGACATTAGGTCTTAGTTTGCTTTTAGTTGATTACAAATCTGTTTACTATTCTCATACATAATAATACATAGCCACACATATTCTAAAGCCTCTTCTGCTCACTATGACAGTCATTATTAGAGTGGAATCCATAGTTTTAGAGTTCGTGCTTGCAGTTGCCATAAGTGACCAGAGTAAAGGTGGTTAAACATCCATACCATTTTAACCAGAGAATCAGGTTGTACAGTGAAAACTGATCTAGATTTGGAGTCCTGCTCAAGACCTCTTTCTCTGGACTCATTTTCTATTTTTATTTTCTTTGGCCCATATTTGCTTTTGCTGCTAAGGTCATCTGTTGTTCTGTGTTTCTGAATTTTCTCCATAACCTAGATACTGGTGGGCTCTGCTTCAGCAAACAAAATATTGCCAAACAGGACATGACTTTTTGCCAACTTTAGTACCTCTGTATTTCCTAGAATTCATAGTCAGTCATACTCGCTTACCAACTGCCTGATTCCTTTGTAATCAAAACCCTTCTCCTGGGCTGTGTTGAGCTTATATATGTATATATTTTAAAAATCTCTTTATTGGGACTTCCCTGGAAGCCCAGTGGTTAAGACTTCGCCTTCCAATGCAGGGGGTACAGGTTTGATTCCTGGTCAGGGAGGTTAAACCCCATGTGCCTTGCAGTCAAAAAACAAAATAGAAAACGGAAGCAATATTGCAACAAATTCAATAGAGTTTTTAAAAATGGTCCTCTTTAAAAAAGCACAAAAATCCCTTTATTATCTCCCACCAATGGCGTTCTTTACCTAGAACAAAGTTACAAATCTGTTTACTATTCTAATACATAATAACACATAACCACACATATGCTAAAGCCTGTTTTGCTCACTATGACAACCATTGTTACAGTGGATTACGTCTAAGTCCTGGTGTCTCTAACTCATGATGACACACAGCAAGCACACATACATTGTAAGTTTAGCAAAGCTTCATTACTCTATGTTCATTACTGGAAGGAAACCCAAGGGGGAAAAAAATTCTGAGATGGTGAAAAAAAATTTTTTAGAGACATGAAATTTAATTACAATGTTTACACGTACATGAGATTTCCTGGTGGCTCAGACGGTAAAGAATCTTCCTGCAATGCAGGAGACCTGGGTTCGATCCCTGGGTTGGGAAGATCCCCTGGAGAAGGGAATGGCTACCCACTCCAGGATTCTTGCCTGAAGAATTCCATGGGCAGAGGAGCCTGGCGGACTGCAGTCCATGGGGTCGCAAAGAGTCAGATATGACTGAGCAACTAACACTATAGTACTACCTCACATATACAGAAGGGTTAAATCAGACTAGCAATATATTCCCTCAGAGAAAATCACTGGAGACCTTCCTTACTGAATAGGTAAGAATAATGTGCAATTTATATAAAAACGGTTGAGACATTTGAGTCAGAGTTCTTAACATAATGGTGTTTGAAGGATTCTTCTCTTAAACTGGCTAAACATCCACTTTTTAAAAAATTTTATTTTATTATAGTTGATTTACAATGTTGTGTTAATTTCTGCTGTACAACAAACTCATTCAGTTATACATATATATATATACACACACACACACATTCTTTTCCATATTCTTTTCCATTCTGATTTTATCACAGTATATAGAAAATCTATGTAAGAGGTTAAGGAAAAATCCAAACTTTTTAGCCAGCCCAACAGTTCCCTGTACAATAAAGTAGGATCTTGTTATTTACTCACCTTATATATAATAGTTTGCATTTGTTAATCCCAAACTTCCTTTCCTTCCCTTTCCCACTTCTCCTCCCACTTGGCAACCATAGCCTGTTCTCTATAAATAACCACTTTTAAATATCATTAACGTGAACAATTTGTTCAAATTTTCCTCTTTGATTCTCATAGATAAGCCTCAGCTTGGCCTCTGTCACCACTGTCACTAATCCCAAACTGGTGAGATCTATAAAAATGAGATAAAAATGAGGTTTTAATACACCATC